CAGTTCATTAGCGTGAAATCTAGTGAAACACTCTCTTTCAAAGGTCATTATGTCTGCTGATGTGTTACAACAGAACTATTGAGCTGTGCTGGCATTAAGTGGCTGGCAGACAGAAATGACTGCGGTAGTGTTTAACTTTCCTTTCTTTTTCGTCATCAATTTTAACCGTAACAAAGAGTTTCAAGCAATGAGCACCTGCAAAGTTAAAACCTTCTTAATGTTCTCTCACTCTCTTTAAACCCAGTTTCTCTCCTCTGCTCCTTTCTCATTAGGTTCTGATTTTCTTCCACTCTCTTCCTTCGTCTCCCTCTCTGTCTAATGACGCAGTAAAAGCAGAGCTTGTCTAATTTATTTTGGAAATTGAGGTGGTCCATGTACTCCTTACCAGAAATATTACCCCTTGATTGTAAAAGTTAATTTACCAAAAATGCATGAGGTCAAAATATGGACGCATTAACTGCTGCTTTGAACTACAGCCAAAACCATTGGGAAATATATTATCTCGGTCCTGAGAAACAGGTCTACCATAAAGACGGCAAAGCACTTGCTCTAATTCACAGATACAGACAAAATGAACGTGCAGTATGAAGTAGTTAAAAGGGAGTCCATTCATCTCAACTCACTGCATAATTTCCACACAACTCCATAGGAAGCAGTCACATAAATATGACAGAAAACTGCTGCTGAAAAGCCATTAAAAGACTGTAACTTTTACAGAAATAAAACTAAGATGTGAAATTAAGCTCCGGGATTTTAATGTACTGAAAATAAATTACAGTCAGAGGTGGGTAAATGTTTATTTCTGCTACCGCAAGCAATCCTTGTGGTATAAAGAAGAGCTTAATAGTTGGACTGTAATAAAGGCCACAAGCTGAAATGAGCTGGGCAAACAATAAAGTTACATACTTTAAGACAAGCCTTAACCCTTCAGACTGTATGCTCTTCTCTCTGAACCTTTGAGATATGTGAAAATATGCCAGAAAACTCTTAAACATTTATTTGCTGTGTCAATTATTTTTTACATTTACTCATCAGGGGCTTGGACACATTGATACTCTTAAATGCTTAGTGAAACTTTCAATTTTCTATGGACCTAAAATTTCCTATCACTAATTTGACATTAACTGGAATAGACTTATAAAATGATCTTTTCATTGTCTGAAAAAAGGGTGTTTGATTATGTAGTTTTGCTGCTTTTCCTGCCTTGTTTAAAAGCAACATGACTGCCAGAGAAGAGGTCAGGTGACCATTTCACGTATGAGCTTTGCTGTTTTCTGGAAGTGTATTATTGCCTCACTCAACGTCTTTATAAACACAGTTTTAACAGAATTTAATAAATCGTCACAAACATCTAAGTGTTAATAGAATACACAAATCTGTCGCATCATAAAAAGTACTGTAATCATTTTAACACTTTATTTGTTTTGTAATTTAGAATCTTTGGCTAAAATTGTGTGATATATTAAAGCAAATAGTTGTTTTCCCAGGTTGATGTGGGATCAACATCATCTAGAAGGGGCTGTGTAGTAAAGGTGCACTGGCTATAACTACAGAAAATGTAAAAATAACGTTTAGACTCTTTGTTTAATTAACATTGTCACCACTTCAAAAATGAAACAAAACAAAACACAAGCAAAAAATAGACTTTTAGCTGTCAACCATGTCGTCAGGAATAAAGTCATAATAAGTCATATCTAAGTAGGCCTGTAACTGGGAGCCACCATCCAGCAATGTCCTCACAAGTAAAGACAGCATTTTATGAATGAATCTCCAGTGAAATAGGTCTGTACTGCTATTTGGCATGATTGTGCGTCACTTATATGTGCAACAAAAC